TGCTCCTGCGCCCCCCCCGCCTGCCCGGACCTCCGCAGGACAGCCCTGCTACCCCAACCATGCTTCCGCCGCCCGCCTGCCCACCCGCCCGGATCTCCACGGGACAGCCCCACTACCCCTAACCCTGCTTCCGCCAGCTGCCCGCCCGCCTGCCTTGATCTCCGCAGGGACAGCCCGCTGCCCCCAACCCTGCTTCCCGGCAGCCAGTTCCCCCCCCCACACATACCTCCTCCCAGCCCAACCCGCTCTGCTCCCCTCCCGGCAGCCACGCTGAGGCCCGGTAATTTTTTCCCTGGTTTGGGAAATGCTGGACAAGAGGATTACAAGGGTTCACTCTGACCTGTGTTTTCAGATGGTCTGTCCTCGCACTGCCCTCAGAAAGTGCAAATATTGCTTTTCAATGCATTGTACGGCATGCTGTCAACTGGTTTCTTTAATTCCGGGAAGGAAAGTGTCTACACTGTTTAGTACGGATTTGAACATTCTGTAATTGTGCAAGAAAGCTGAAAGCAAGTTGTTTTTACCACACACACTGGGCCTGACTCGCTCTTGCCTTCTAAAGTGTGCACCCTACTGCAAAAAGACAGCTATATGAAAGCCAAATGCTTCCCAACCAGAAGTCACTTTGCACTAGTGTAAATGACAGCACAAAGAGTGGCAATGGAGAATCAAGCCCTGTGTGCTTCTCAGTGCTAGGTAGATAACTCTATTAAATAGCTTCTTAGGCCTTGATCCTGCAAACAAAGTACATGCTTAACTTAATACATGACTAGTCCATGAAGTCAAATGTGTTCTTCAAACACCTAAAGCAGTGATTGTACGATCGCATACTAATCCTGTTATAATGCAGTATCCTATTGCTCGAACAACAAAGGATCGCCCTCTCTCGTTTCTCAGCTAATGCACTATAGCCGTGGTCCCCAACACGTTGCCCGCGGGCGCCATGTGCCCGCCAAGTGCTCGGGGCTGGCCTGGCCCCGGGCACATAGCGCGGCGCTTTCGCCGGCCCCGGGCGCGCGGCGCTTGGCGGGGGGAACGCCGGC